GCCCAAGATGCAGAAAACAGGAAGATTCCTCTACGGAAGCTCATGGATGTGAGCTCTGAATCTACCATCTCTGTCCCCAACCTCATTCTTCTGGGATTTGACATTCTGCTGGAAGGTTTTAGGCACATTTTTGCTGATGCTTTTCATTTTGGCATGTGTGCTAGACAAAACAGCTTGTTTTCTTCCTCTTCCTAAACCAGTGCAGGTAATTCTGGTATTAGGGCAAGATGCCAGTTTGGTGCACTCTGGTCTTGTTGAATTTCCACCCCGTCAACTTTAAAAAGAGGTTGGCATTTTTGTCCTCCTTTTCCTTATGATTCTGCGTCTGTCCAGTTTTCTCATATTTCTGTTGGTGACATCTGCAAAAAGCAGAGAGGCTTTTAATCACACCCCAAGCAAAGGGTCTTACACAACGCAAGGGTGCCTGACAATACACATTTACATAACGAGATCAGCATGCAGAGAAAAAAAAAGCGCTAAACGGATATGCAAATGCTACCACACTCTTTTTGTGCAGTGTTGCTTTCAGACATATTCAGTATTTTGCATTTGTATAATTCTTTCCCTGTAAGGATTTTGGAAAACTTCATGGGAATAAAGCACAAATTCCCTAGCTGATTTTTTTGCCAGGCTTTAGTAAGAACTACGAATAAATCCTTTTCCACCTTACTACCTGCTCTTCCCCATGTGAATATGTAAGTGCCTCAAAAGTAGAATTTATTTTTACAAATAGCCATGTGAAATTGCCATTTTATAGCTGGGAATCTGAAACACACACCACAGGATAACATCTAGACCAAGTTCAGACAACAACCGTGCAGCCTGGCCAGCGGCTGCCCCTAAGTTTCGGCCCAGCGCATCGGCTGTGCTTAAAAAGGGAGGCAATTACACCAGAGCATCTGAAAGCCACATTTTCAACTGTAGCTCTGTTTTGCATTCTGTTTACTGTTTCTGCTTATTTCTGCATGGTACCATCTGGGCTCTACCTCCTTTCTACTTCCTCATGGTTTGCAGTTTCCTAAGTTCCTGTACATATTTTTTTGCATTTTATGGACAATCAGCAATTTTTAACTCCACAAATACAGCTCAGCGTTCCTTCACTTTATTTTTAGCCCAAACTGGCTACTGGGAACTGCAGCTCACTAGCTGTGAGCCCGCTAGGGCAGCTGACTCAGAGACTGGCCTGGCAGATGGCGAAATTCCTTTCTAAAAGCTAAGTGAGAATGGATCTTTGTCACTTCTAATCCGCCAGATGGTTGCAAATCCTCAGATACAGCTGATCCTTGATGCTTGTCTGCAGGCCCACCCAGGCTGAGAAAACACCCTCCATTCACTCCCAATTAACTTGTCTTGGTTTTGTTTGGTTTCAGAACAGGACAGAATAGACTGTTTCAGTCGGAAGGGACCTACAACGATCATCTAGTCCAACTGCCTGGGCAATGCAGGGCTGACCAGGTTAAAGCGTGTTGTTAAGGGCATTGTCCAAAGCCTCTTAACCACGGACAGGCTTGGGGCATGGACCACCTCTCTAGGAAGCCTGTTCCAGTGTCTGACCACCCTCTCGGTAAAGAAATGCTTCCCAGTGTCCAGTCTAAACCTTCCCTGGCGCAGCTTTGAGCCATTCCCACGCGTCCTATCACTGGATCCCAGGGAGAAGAGCTCGCACCTCCCTCCCCGCGTCCCCTCCTCAGGAAGCTGCAGGGAGCAACAAAGAAGCCCCTCAGCCTCCTTTCTTCCAAACTGGACAAGTCCAGGGTCCCCCCATCGGTGCTCTCTGTCGTTCTTTGGGTTGGTTTGGTCTGGTTTGGTTTCCTGCTGGCCTTCAGCTACCAGCGAGCCGGGTTTCTGTTGGTGACATCTGCAAAAAGCAGAGAGGCTTTTAATCACACCCCAAGCAAAAGGTCTTACACAACGCAAGGGTGCCTGACAATACACATTTACATAACGAGATCAGCATGCAGAGAAAAAAAAAGCGCTAAACGGATATGCAAATGCTACCACACTCTTTTTGTGCAGTGTTGCTTTCAGACATATTCAGTATTTTGCATTTGTATAATTCTTTCCCTGTAAGGATTTTGGAAAACTTCATGGGAATAAAGCACAAATTCCCTAGCTGATTTTTTTGCCAGGCTTTAGTAAGAACTACGAATAAATCCTTTTCCACCTTACTACCTGCTCTTCCCCATGTGAATATGTAAGTGCCTCAAAAGTAGAATTTATTTTTACAAATAGCCATGTGAAATTGCCATTTTATAGCTGGGAATCTGAAACACACACCACAGGATAACATCTAGACCAAGTTCAGACAACAACCGTGCAGCCTGGCCAGCGGCTGCCCCTAAGTTTCCACAGCCCAAATCCGCTGCCCTGTTTACTGGCCAAGCCATCGTCTGTGCTTAAAAAGGGAGGCAATTACACCAGAGCATCTGAAAGCCACATTTTCAACTGTAGCTCTGTTTTGCATTCTGTTTACTGTTTCTGCTTATTTCTGCATGGTACCATCTGGGCTCTACCTCCTTTCTACTTCCTCATGGTTTGCAGTTTCCTAAGTTCCTGTACATATTTTTTTGCATTTTATGGACAATCAGCAATTTTTAACTCCACAAATACAGCTCAGCGTTCCTTCACTTTATTTTTAGCCCAAACTGGCTACTGGGAACTGCAGCTCACTAGCTGTGAGCCCGCTAGGGCAGCTGACTCAGAGACTGGCCTGGCAGATGGCGAAATTCCTTTCTAAAAGCTAAGTGAGAATGGATCTTTGTCACTTCTAATCCGCCAGATGGTTGCAAATCCTCAGATACAGCTGATCCTTGATGCTTGTCTGCAGGCCCACCCAGGCTGAGAAAACACCCTCCATTCACTCCCAATTAACTTGTCTTGGTTTTGTTTGGTTTCAGAACAGGACAGAATAGACTGTTTCAGTCGGAAGGGACCTACAACGATCATCTAGTCCAACTGCCTGGGCAATGCAGGGCTGACCAGGTTAAAGCGTGTTGTTAAGGGCATTGTCCAAAGCCTCTTAACCACGGACAGGCTTGGGGCATGGACCACCTCTCTAGGAAGCCTGTTCCAGTGTCTGACCACCCTCTCGGTAAAGAAATGCTTCCCAGTGTCCAGTCTAAACCTTCCCTGGCGCAGCTTTGAGCCATTCCCACGCGTCCTATCACTGGATCCCAGGGAGAAGAGCTCGCACCTCCCTCCCCGCGTCCCCTCCTCAGGAAGCTGCAGGGAGCAACAAAGAAGCCCCTCAGCCTCCTTTCTTCCAAACTGGACAAGTCCAGGGTCCCCCCATCGGTGCTCTCTGTCGTTCTTTGGGTTGGTTTGGTTTCCTGCTGGATTTC